GGCACGCTCGTCCCGGAACTGAAACGGGGGGGGCGCATCCGCCCCCCGTGGCACTGGCAGCGCCCCAGGGCGGGCAGAACGACGCGGCAGGACAGCGCGGCAGACGAGCAGGGCAAATCACCCAACGCCCAATCTGAACGTGCTCCAGACGTGCACCCCACGAGGCGAGAGGAATCCGCGTCCAGAAGTGACGTGTTGCCAGAGGCGGTCTGCGGAGGCGATCTTGTAACGTATCCAATGCATCCAAGTCTTGCATATTGCTGCATATGGTATTCTTTAACCTCCTTATCTCCCCCTTGGAATCACCCAACTTCCGTCGACCAAACGTAGACTCCTTGTGGGCCTCCAGAACCTGTGAAAACCTATGGCGAATCGACGATGTGGGGCAATTTGTCCTCTTTTATTGTCTTTGGTGCTCTCAATACGGCTCAAGATGGCCTCGAGACGGGCCAAGACGGCTCAAGGAGAGCTCAAGATGGCCCCGAAAGGGCCCAAGAGGCCCCCAAGCCGACCCAACATTGCCCCTAGAGGAGCCCCTAATTGGGGTCATTGGAAGCCCAGAGCAACGATTTCCCAATTGTTTTTGCACGGTTTTGATGTTGTCTTCTTTTTCGGCATTTGGGGGCCCGTGATGGCCCAAGCAGCATCCAAGATGGCTCCAATAGGCCCCCCCGGAGGCCTCCAACAGAGCCCGAAGACGGCCCCAAGATGGCCCCAGGACGGTCCAAGACGGCCCAAGACGGCCCCAGGAGAGCCCCAAGGCGGCCCCGAGAGGCCCCCAAGACGGCCGCCGAAGGGGTCACACGGCGCATGAGGACTTAATGGGGCTCCAAAGAAGCCCCCAAGAGGTCCCCAGGGGCCCCCAAGAAGCTCCCAAGAGGCTCCAAAGAAGCTCCCAAACGGCCCCAAGAGGTCCCCCGTAATCCCACCAGCCCGTCAGGGCGTAGGTGGTTTAGAGCGTTTCCTCTTCCAACCACCTTTTCCCCATGGGGGAGGGGTTTATACTGTTCCCAATTCACATACACCCCCTCCCCCAGGCAACCGGCAGCGAGCCAGGAATAATGCTGAGTCTATGATCACACACCCTCAACCGTCCCTGTCAAAAAGACATGGTACCGGAGACAAGCCCAAATCAAAGTCTTTTTAAGGCAAAAGGGCTATGGGGCTATAGGGCGATGGGGCTGTGGAACTATGGCCACAGGGCTATAGGTCTATAGGGCAATAGAGCTATAGGGCCATAGGGATATAGGGCTGTAGGGCCTTAGGGCTATGGGGCTATGGGGCTCTGAGGCTATGGGGATATAGGGCCATAGGGCAATGAGTATTATAGGGCTATGGGGCTATATGGCTATAGGACCATAGGGCTATGAGTCTATAGGGATATAGGGTTATGAGGCTACAGGGCTATATGCACACACACACACATATATATATATATATATATATATATAGAGCTATCGGGTTATAGGACTATAGGGCTATAAGGCTATAGGGCTATATGGCTATAAGGCTATAGGGCTACAGGGCTATTGGCCTATTGAGCTATAGGGCTATAAGGCTATAGGGCCATGGGGCTTTAGTGCTATGGGGCTATAGGGTTATATGGCTATGTGGCTGTAGGGCTATAGGGCTAGAAGGCTATGGGGCTATGGAGCTACAGGGCCTTAGGGCGATAGGGCTATAAAGCTATAGGGCTATAGGCCTATAGGGCCATTGGGCTAAGGCTGTGGGGCTAGAAGGCTATAAAACTATAGGGCTATAGAGCACCCGGGCACCCAGGCGGGCCGCGGAATTCAGTGGCAAAGCTCACTTAATCATATAAATCCGCTAGGACCCCTACAGAGGCAAGCTCAAATGGGGGAAATACAAAACACAATCAGCCTCCAAATTCACAGCATGCGCAACCAATCCGATGCGGCCCCCCACAATTTCTGCCAACAAGACAATCCAACATACATGTTGGGGCAACGTCTTGAGTCATGTTCGTGAGGCCCGCGAGCACTTTGTATGGTCTTTTGTCAGGGACGGCGGGGGTGTCAGCATATTCCCTGCTGTGCGCAGGGCTGCCATCCCTGACAAGAGATAATACAACATGCACTTCGCGACAACATGTGGATCATGCGCGGCCACCCCGGGATCACTGTCAAGTGGTTTTTGACAGGGACGGCGGGGGTGGTGGCGCGTGGCCTGCTGTGCGCAGGCCCACCGTCCCACCAGACACGATGATGGGCAGAGGTTTTCGACAAGGATGGTGGGGGCCGACATGTTTCGCGATGTGTGCTGTCACGTGCGCAGGCGCACCTGACACACTCTGCACGTGCCCCGAACGTGGCGCCCCTGGCGCGGATGGAGTGTGCGGCACACCTGGCGCACTCGGAGCCCGTGGCGCATGTGGCGCACCAGGCGTGCCTGGCACGCTCGGGTCCCAGGGGTGCCTGGCGCGCGTGGCGCGCCTGGCACGCGCGGTGCACCCCTTCCAAGCGTCGCGCACATGGGGTCGGCTTTTTGATTCCCAGTAGTTGCCCATCCAAAGACGACCGCTGAACATGCTGAGGCTCGGGTGTTACTTACGTGTTGGGAGGCGGGTGGGAGTGAGCCAGACGGCTTGTCATCTAGGAAGATATCTTGATCACTGCTCTATTCTGATATACACCCCCACCCGTCTGGCGGGCACCCCAGAACCATGCCGACTCTATGCGGGCCCGCCCCTCACCATCCAAGTCAAAAAAACATGCAAAGTACACTTTGGGGCAAAGTCTTGAGTCATGTTCGTGAGGCCCGCGAGCACTTTGTATCGTTTTTGTCAAGGACGGCGGGGGTGTCAGCATATTTCCTGCTGTGCGCAGGGCTACCATCCCTGACAAAAAACAATACAACATGCACTTCGCGGCTAAATGTGGATCATGCGCGGCCACCCCAGGATCACTGTCAAGTGGTTTTTGACAGGGACGGCGGGGGTGGTGGCGCGTGGCCTGCTGTGCGCAGGCCCACCGTCCCACCAGACACGATGATGGGCAGAGGTTTTCGACAAGGATGGTGGGGGCCGACATGTTTCCCGATGTGTGCTGTCACGTGCGCAGGCGCACCTGACACACTCTGCACGTGCCCCGAACGTGGCGCCCCTGGCGCGGCTGGGGTGCGCGGCACACCTGGCGCACTCGGAGCCCGTGGCGCATCTGGCGCACCAGGCGTGCCGGGCACGCTCGGGCCCCAGGGGTGCCTGGCGCGCGTGGCGCACCTCGCCCAAGCGTCGCGCACCTGGGGTCGGCTTTTGTTCCCAATAGCTGCCCATCCAAAGACGACCGCTGAACATGCTGAGGCTCGCTTGTTACTCTTACGTGTTGGGAGGGCGGGTGGGAGTGAGCTAGACGGCTTGCGGGCGGGTGGGTAGCTTGACCCCTCCCCCTACCCCCTCCCCTGGATCTGGAAAGGAGGTTTCGCGACCGATTGAGGCGTCCAAGAAGGCCTCGGCGAGAAGGCAAACATGATTGATTTTGCGTAGGCTTTGGGCTCATTTTGGCCTCCTAGGAGGGGGGGAACCCTGATTAAGCCCACCCGCTTCGTTGATCGATCTCCTCCAAAATGGGTCCCGAGGTGCCACAAGAGGGCCCCAAGAGGCGCGCAGGATGCCCCAAGAGGACCCCAAGAGGACCCCAAGAGGTCCCCAAGAGGCTCCAAAGAGACCTCCAAAGAAACCTGAAGAGGCTCCCCCGAGGCACCCAAGACGCTCCAAGAGGCCCCAAGGACCGCCAAGAAGACCTCAAGACGACCCAAGAGGACCACAAGAAGCTTTCAAGAGACATCTGAACAGACTCCGAGAGGCATCCAAGAGGTATCTGGCCATTCTGCTTGCTCTCCTCCTCCTCCTCCTCCTCCTCCTCCTACTCCGCCTGTTCTTCCTCCTCCTTCCTTCCTTTTCCGCCTCCTGCTCCTCCTGCTCCTCCTCCTGTTCCTCCTCCTCCTCCTCCGATTCCTTCTCCATGCTCCCCCTCTTGGGGCATGACAGCTTCCCCATCCCGCTATCTTACTGCATGCTCCTCCACATCCCTGACCAGGGCAACTTACTGGACATCGTCTCTGGATGGGCTGGTGGGATAACGCGAAGCGTCTGGACTTGTATGCAGATGGCGCGCTGCTGCCACGCTAATCGGAATTTGAAGTTGGCGTTGCCTTGAGTTGGCGCGCGGTGAAAGCCAATTGCCCTCGCGGACATTCGCACGCTCGTCCTGGCGCTGCAACGGAGGGGGGCGCATCCACCCCCCCGTGGCGCTTGCACCGCCCAGGGGCGGGCAGAACAACACGACGACACGGCAAACCAGCGCACCAGATGAGCAAAGCAAGCCACTCAGCCTCCAAGAGGCCCCTGAGAAGCCTCCAGGACCCACCAGAACGACTTGACTGAACGTGCTCTGGACGTGCACCCCGCGAAGCGAGAAGAATCAGATTATCTGGGATGGGAAGACTCTGTAATCTCTGAGACCCTGGCGGTCTGGATGATTTATTGGGCCCTGAAGCCGTTCCAGAAAGCTCCTGGACGCTCTGAGAGCAGTCCAGGCCGCCCTGAAACGACTCCCCTCGTCCTAGCTCTACCTAAACACTACCACCACCCCCTGGCCAGGGCCTGACTGGCCTACAGCTTCTGTAAGGCCTCCTGCGCCCGCAAGGCTGTGGAAGTGGCGGCGAACCGTCCACCTCGCTGGCGTTTCCCTTGCTCGCCCTTTAGGCGGCACCCGTGCCCGGGCTCGCCCTTTAGGCGGAGCCTGCGGGCGCGGGCTCTCTGGCGGCGCTGGGGCAGAAAAAAGGGGCCCCGCTGTGGGCGCCGAACACCTGGGCGAGCCACTCGGCCAGGCCGCCGAGCAGCGGCTCCCCAGAGCCAGCGAAGTGCGTAGGAACCGACAGAACAGGCACCAGTCGATAGACTTGGCCCAGCCGCTGCCTGGCGTCCAGTCATCCTGCGTGCAGGCCGGCGCTGGCCGCCCGACGGCCGGCCCCGCCCTGCCCTACCGCTGCCGCGCCCGCCTCTCCTCCTCTCGCCGCAGCACGAGCTGCATCAGGGCCCTCAGGTCCTCGACCTCCTCGGAGTCCGCGGGGCACGACCTGCGGGACCGCAGGTGACCCGCGCAGCACTCGCCGTCGCTGTCGTCGGCCGCCTGGCCAGCCTCCTCGTCCTCGTCTCCGCACGGGGGCTCGCGCAGCTCGTACGGCTTCGCCGAGAGCACCAGGTCCGGCTGCACGGCCTTCGCGTTGCGCTGCATCCACTTCAGCCAGAGCTGCACCCGCGGCGGAGCGGAGCCGGGCAGGCGGCAGCAGTCGAGGAGCCCGGGGCAGCTGGCCGGAGAGCAGTTGGCGGCCGCGGTGAGGCAGGCGCAGAGGGCCGAGTAGGCGGGGCACTCCACCGGGACGCCCCGCGGCTTGACCGAGGTCTCCGTCGAGAACGCGGCCAGGTGCGAGAAGTTGAGGAAGGACCTCATGATCGGGAGCTGGGGCCCTGTCACCAACTGCCGAATGGTGCTGCAGAAGCAGGCGCACCAGCAGCAGCAGGACCGGCAGTCGAATGTCTTGAACGCCAGGCAACTTCGGAGTCGTATTCGGTCGGATGTGACCACCACGTCGTTGTAGGCGCGGTATGGAGAGGTATAGGAGCCGTTGTCCACGAACGACCACATGTAGATCGGCTCCTCCCTCCCGGCCGCGATGGTGATCACTTTCTTGGGCGCTGGGTCGTTCCCAACAGAAGACGTCCACTTTAGATACTTCACGTCTGTGTTAGGCCCCTGCTCTATCCTGCAACTCGCCTCCTGCACGCCGTGCATAATGGGCAAGCTCCGCTGGACGTACGCATCTTTGACCTTCAGGTCTTCCAGGTCCTTTGAGAGTTGCGTGGCGACGAGATCGTAGAGCTCGTCGATGTTTCCCATCATCCTCTCCATGGCGAGCACGCCGCGCCGACTCTGCATGACCAGTTCTCCAGTCTTCCAGTGGCATATCATAAACAAGCGTTGGATCCAAGGTGGGCGCCTGCTGGTCATCCTCCCATAGAATACCTGGCCTCCATGTCGGAAAACCTCCACTCGGAGGGCCACCCCGGCCCTGCAGACATTGAACAGCCGAGAGGTGGGGCGAAAGTACACGGTGAAGATGCGCTGCGTGGTCACTATCACAGCACACTGCTGGGAACTGTAGAACGTAAAATACCGGATGGCCAGCAGGAACGGAATCGCCGCCAGGGTCAGGCACAAGACGAGCAACGGTTCGCCCAAAGCGCACAGGAGCACGTCGTGCCTTGGGCCCACCGCGTCTGGAACGACAGCGAACTCGTCCTCGCAGGCGCCCTCGCCCGGATATGACACCAGCGGTCCGCCCCAGGACGTGGGATAGTACACCAGCGCCAGCGCGCAGCCCGCCGCTGCGGCGGAGAGGTACCAGAACTCCTTTGGCGTCAGGAAGGGGGTCTCCGTCCACGCCTTCAGCACGGCCTCGTCCTTCATGAAGCCCAGGCACTGCGTGGGCACGCGCACCATGCACTCGCCCCCGACCGCGACGCTGGGCGTCACGAGCCGGTAGTCTTCCTGGAAGAAGCGCATCCAGTTCGGCGCAATGTCCTTGCTCACGAGCTCCACGTTCTTTACCGGCATCATGTTTTGAGACGTCCAAGCGCCCGCGTCGCGGGACTCAACGGGCACAGACTCCAGCGGCGGCCTCGAGCTCCTCGTGCCACCCTGCAGGGTCGCCCCCTGGAAGACGCGGTTGAGGAACTCGCTCGCCAGCTCGTCCCGCATCTGGTAGACGTCTGCGCTGGCGTTGAAGCAGTCCTGCACGAACTCGAGGTCCAGGCACGCCGTCTCCGCCGCCTTCCCCAGTGCGTGGCGGACGATCACGCTGCTGGCGAACAGCGCGAGCAGCAGCGTGCAATAATTGATGACAGTGTTGACCGTCCCGGCCCACGAGACTGGGTCGCTGCCGCCGAGGAACGCCAGGATCTCGCCGCTGACGCACCCGGAGCAGCAGGGCTGCTGGGCGCCCTGGCATATGAGGTCGTCGGACACGAGCCTCACCGAGTCGCAGAACTGCGGGCGGTTGAAGGCGTGCTCTGCCGCAAACTGCCTGCACAGGGAGGGGGTGCAGGGTGCAGTGAAGGCGTGCTCTGCCTGGCAGTAGCTACTGGCCTCCACGACCCACTGCAACTCCCGGACGTAGCTGGCGAACGTGTAGCCCTGCGCGACCAGGCTGCCGATCAGGAGCGCAATGGACATGCAGGGAAAATACTGCTGTACCACCTCGGCGTGGTTGTCATCGTCCATGGCTGGATCCCGCGGAGTTCCCTGCACATCGGAAGCTACGCTCGCAGCGCCCCCGCCCATGTTCTGCAGTGGCCGGACCGCCCTGCCCTCGGGCACGGAGCTCGCCAGGCGCTCGTCGAGCTGCTGCTGGGTCGGGTACTTCCCGAAGAAGAGCCGCAGCGAGGACGCCCTCTGCCTGCGGACGCAGCAGCTGCGGCACCGGCCGCCGTCCGTGTAGATGTACTGCGCTGCCGCGATGCTGGCGGCCTTGAACTCCCGCCGGTAGCGCGCACCGTAGCCCCGCTGGCGGTGCACCCACACCCAGGCCACAAAACCCGCCCAGAACAGGCCCGTCGCGACTGCGTAGACCTTCGTCTGGCTGGCCAGGAGGCCCCGCAGCTCCTGGGCCTCGGGGTGGTCGAGCAGGAGCCCCACGGCTCGCCGCAGGTCGTCCCCGAAGCCGTGCGTGCCCAGCCAGATCCACACAGCCAATGGCACGAGCACCAGCCCGAGGAGGACGAGCAGTACCCGCATCAAGAACCACAAGCTGGTACCCGGGCTGCTACCAAGAATGGAGTCGTGCTCCCGCTTCACCAGCAGCACCCGCCCCGAGGTGGTCAGGGCGAGCAGTGCCATGTCCCGCGTTGGGCGGAAGAAGTAATACAGCCCCAGGGTGAGCACCGAGGCCAGGCACACGCAGGAGTCCAGCCGGCGGGTCTTGACCACCATCGCGAGCTCCAGCGTGTCGGTCTGCAGGACGTCCTTGCCGAGCCACCGGTCCAACTCCCTCAACGTCCTGGCGATCAGATCCTCCGCCTCCTCTCCGTACCGATCGCCCAGCAACTCCCGCATGTTGGCCGACACGCGGCTCCGTGCCGACGGCCCCCTCCTCGCCGGCGGCCGGGCGGGCTGCTCGAGCAGCTTCCTGGACTCCTCCAGCGCCCACGCCAGCGCCGCCGCCTCGTCCTGCTCGGTGCGGAAGGGCCCCGGACCTCCGACGCCCCCCCCCGTGAGGAGAGCAATAGTATCGTGTTGGGAGGGAGGGGCTGGGAGGATGAAGGGTATGAGCAATCACATCCGCATGCAACGAACGATAATCTCGACAGCCTACGGAAAATCAGATCCTCATTTCGGGGAGGAGGAGGAGGAGGAGGAGGAGGAGGAGGAGGAGGAGGAGGAGGAGGAGGAGGAGGAGGAGGCGGAGGAGGGGAGGAGGAGGAGGCGGAGGAGGAGGAGGAGGAGGAGGAGGACAGGAAGAGGAGGGGAGGAGGCGGAGGAGGAGGAGGAGGAGGAGGAGGAGGAGGAGGAGGAGGAGGAGGAGGAGGAGGAGGAGGAGGTGGAGGAGGAGGAGGAGGAGGAGGAGGAGGAGCAGGAAGAGGAGGGGGAGGAAGAGGGGGAGGAGGAGGAGCCCAACCCCATCCTCCCAACCCGGTAATTCTTGTCTGCCTAACCCCTGCTGGACTTCCGCCGCGGGTCGTCTCCTTGAGCGCCCCTCCGGGGGCCCCAGGCGGGCACCCCGGGGGCCCGGAGCTCGGAGAGACGGGCCGTCGTGGCTTCCTTCTCGGCGCCAGAGGTCTGGGCCCTCCTCCTCCTCCTCCTCCTCCTCCTCGACCCCGGCCGCGGGACCAGGGTCCTCGCCACGGATCGCTTCTCGGACCTGCGGTGCGTTCTTGCCAGTGTCTCGAGGCGGACCGCGCTGTGGCCAAAAGGGGCGCCCCAAGAGGGTTGTGCGGAACGGCCCAGAGCTTAGCTGCCCTGATACACCGCACGTTACCCAGAGCGTGTTGTCACGGAACTCAACACGCAGATCGAAAACGTCGGTCTGCCGCCATACGTTCGCCAGAACTTGGGGCAACAAGTGCTGAGCCAACACGCAGCGTAGTATAACCTGCACGTTGTGAACACGGTGCGTGCTGTGCTTCAAAACGGGCGTGTCGGGACAGCTACGGCCTCCAGAAGTCGGAATGACAAATATACCCTTGGCGCTTCCACCTCGCTCTTCCGAGTCTTTTTGGACGCCCAACATGGGTACGGAAAAAATGGGTAAGATGCCCAACCACACATGTTGTCCAAAACCGACAGCGGCCGCTGTTGGGCAAGCGGCCTCCTGTCTCAAATGGACAGCGCCCGCGGTGATGCTGACAACAAATCCAGTCCAAAATGGACACGAACTGCTGTCGGTCTTCGTACCAATTCTTTCCGTACCCATTTGAACACGTTTTTCTTTCCGATTCGCGATAACGGCCGTTACCACGGATGCCCCCCCCGTCCCCCCCCCTGGGAACGTCGCAGTTCGCGCCGGCGCTGCCTGGGACTTGCTGAGAGGCAACCCACTCCCAGACGGCGCTGGCGCGCCCTTCGCCCCCCACTTCCCGTGCTCGGGGTTTCTTGATAAGGGGGTACCCCCCGACGGGGGTCAACCTCACCTCGTCGTCTCGCCGCGACGGGGGTCGGAGCGCCTTCGGCGCGCGGTGGCTGCCCGCGACTGGGGTCGATGTGGGGCAGTACCCATTTCTAGACAGGCGCGTTCCACTACTCGCAGGGTAACGTCTCGCAAGTGGCCTGGATCCGCCATGGGATATCTACAATACATCACATCGAGGCAGTTTTTTCTTTTCTTAAATAATTTCATGTTATTATTGTTATTATTACTATTATTAATAATATTCTTCTTCTTCTTCTTATTATGATTATCATTATCATTATTATTATCATTATCATTCTCATTATTATTATTATTATTATCATTATCATTATCATTATCATTATTATTATTATTATCATTATTATTATTATTATTATTATTATTATTATTATTATTATTATTATTATTATTATTATTATTCTTATTATCATTATTATAAGTGTCATTATTATTATTTCTTATCGGACGTTTACGAGTCGGCTCTTTCGAGTAGTGGGACGCGCTTGGTCGCGGGGCGGGATATCAAGTACCTGGCCGTGTCTGCGGCGCCCTACCGCGGCGCCCTGCCTGCCCATAATGGCTTTCTGGGGGTAGGGTGCCCACCCAGGGCGTAGTCCTCTGCCTGCCATAGCGCGGCTTTGGTCTACCTCTGGGGGGGGGGCGATGAGCGTCGCGCCCGTCTGCCATTGTGCCTCGGGCGCGACCTCGCTCGTGCCGATCGGCAGGCCACGGCTGTTTGCGAGCCGACACTGTGGAGGAGGAGGAGGAGGAGGAGGAGGAGGAGGAGGAGGAGGAGAAGGAGGAAGGAGGAGGAGGAGGAGGAGGAGGAGGAGGAGGAAGGAGGAGGAGCAGGAGGAGGAGGAGGAGGAGGAGGAGGAGGAGGAGGAGGAGGAGGAGGGAGGGAGGGAGGAGGGAGGAGGAGGGAGGGAGGGAGGGAGGGAGGGAGGGGGAGGAGGGAGGGAGGGAGGGAGGAGGAGAGGAGGAGGAGGAGGGAGGAGGAGGAGGAGGAGGAGGAGGAGGAGGAGGGGGAGGGGAGGAGGAGGAGGGAGGAGGAGGAGGAGGAGGAGGAGGAGGAGGAGGAGGAGGAGGAGGAGGAGGAGGAGGAGGAGGAGGGAGGAGGAGGAGAATTTCCTTCGTGCCGATCCTGGGGGTCCGCGCCCCTCGGCTGGCCACGGCCGCGGCCCTTCGCCGCGGACGGCGGCGGCGGGCTCCGCTGCGCGGGCGGGCGGCCGGCGCGGTCGGCGCCGCGGGCCCCGCCCAGCCGGCCGGGCCCGGGCTCCGCCGCCCGTCGCCGCCGCCCCCGGGCGCGGCGGCGCGGTGGGCGGCCACCGCGGGCCGCGGGGGGGGGCCGCCCACCGCGGCGGCGCCCGGGTCTGGGAAGGCCTCGGGGTGGCCCGCCGGGGCGCAGTTCGCATGCGGTTCCCCACACGCTTCGGCACACTCCGCACACGGTTCGTGGCCCCACCAGGAGCTCAACCGAGGGCCTCCGTGGCGCAGTTCGCAGGCGGTGCGCCACCCATGTCGGCACACCCCGCACACGCTTCGTAGTCCCACAGGGAGCGAAACAAAATCGGCGGCGAGCCCAAGGGGGAAGCGAGACGGATCGGGTTTTCCCCCGTGGCTCGGAAGGCCTCGGGCCTCTGGAGAAGTCTTCTGTGAGCGTTCCCCGAGGGCAGAAGCCACTTCTCAGAAGGCGCGGGGGCTTCTGAGAAGCCCCGCCGCCTTCTGGGGAGGCCACCGCCCCCTCGCTGCCCCCCTGGGCTCGCCGCCGAAGAGAAGAGAAGGTACTGATGCCGCTGGTCCGCGGACCCCTCCCCGGGTGCGTTCGGACCAGCATGCTAAGGCGTGTCCAGCGGCGGCGACGAGGGCTCCTCGGCAAGCCCAAGAAGGCGCAAAACGAGGGAAGGGTAGCCGCATCATCAATATCTTTTCCCAGAGGAGCAAGAGCCGGCATAAACATGAATTCTCGGAGCTCGGCGCTGATTTCGTGGATCCGCACTGGGGACTCCGCCCTGGCGTGCGGAGCGCGACAGGGGCGGCGCTGGAGGCGCCGCCAGGGGGGTCCCAGCGCCGATGCAAGAAATCCGCGCGGAGCTCTGAGAGTTCATGCTTTCAGTAGGGGCCCGACCACAAGAAACCTTCCACAAGAAACCCAACCCTGAGACCCCGGGACGTCCATCGATTTCTGGTGTTGGAACGTCACGCTTTCCATAGCAACACTGTCGAAACCCAAGAAACCCAGGGCACCCTGGAGGCAAGCAGGATGCTTCTTGGCATGGGCCTCCACTGTATGCCGTCCTTTTGCCCTTCGATGTTCCTCCTCGGCCGAGGCCTGGGGCTGCACAAAGACCGTCCCCAGAGGCAGCCCAGGCGCCGTCGGCGTGCCCCAGCCGGCCGCGCCCGGGCTCCGCCAGCCGTCGCCCGCGCCCCCGCCGGCGCCGGGCGCGGAGCTGCGGTGGCCGGGCGCAGGCTGCGGGGGGCTGCGCATCGCGGCGGCGCCAGGGTCTGGCAAGGCTCGGAGTCTGGGGCGGCTGCGGAGGAGCAGAAGGAGGAGAAGGAGGAGAAGGAGGAGGAGGAGGAGGCGGAGGAGGAGGAGGAGGAGGAGGAGGAGGAGGAGGAGGAGGAGGCGGAGGAGGAGGGGGAGGGCGAGGGGGAGGGGGAGGAGGAGGATTTGGGGAGGAGGGGGTGAAAGAGGGAGGAGAAGGAGGAGACGAATTGACGACCGAGCTTGCAGTTAACCCGTATCGTAAGGACGCACGAAAGGGATGCAAGGGCCTTGGAAGGCCTTGTCGACACTTTGCGGCGGGGGCGCGGCCAGCGAGAGCGGCCTAGGATGGGCCGAAAGGGAAATATGCAACGGTCAACTTGGAAAATTGCTCACAGGCGCCGTGTTGGGCGTTCGGTCAGGCCTTTTGGGGACCGCAGAAACCTTATGCGGGTTGACTGTAACTGCCCTCGTAGGCCACATGGAACCCTGAGCTCGGAAAGACGGGACGTCGTGACTTCCTTCGCGGCGCCAGAAATCTGGGCCCTTCTCCTTCTCCTCCTCCTTTCTTTCTCCCTGCCTTTGCCTCCCTTGGTTCCCGGCATGCCCCGCCCGTAGCCCGACCGGCGCCTGCACCGCTTTCGCATTCTTGTCCCCGCTGACTGAAAGTACTCGCTTGCTCCCGGGTGCGCCCTGGCCCTCTCAACCAGCCGACAGCGGGGCTTCGCCCGAGGGGAGGGGCTTCTTGTCCTGCGAGGGCGGCCTCGGCACCGGACCGCCTCCTCCCTGCGTGCTGGCTGTTCGTTGTCTCTGGCCTTC